CTTTAAATTATGCCGAGTTCCGTGGAACCGTTACGGTTTAACAGGGATCTGTCGAAACGTAAAATCCTCGGCACGAAATTTATCACGGTTTTATTTTATTTAAGAGCCCCGCGAACGAGATTACGTGTTTTGTATTGAAAAAAAAGAAGAAGGAGCAGGACACCGAAGGGGATCGAAACACTCGTGGTATCGCGCGGGGATAAATCAGTCCGGCAAGGATTTAGGTATCTGTTTGAATTACGGGCGACAATGATTAATCCGGTATCGATCGGCGTTTAATGATTTATGATGGGAAAAAAAGGGGCGGGGACGAATCGTCGAATAACGCCGCAACGCGCGGCGCGCCGCGTTCCCTTTTTTTTGCCCCGTGTTTCGGTGTTGTTTGTTGATTCCGAGGTGTCGGCCGGCTGCGCGATACGGGATCGGTTTTTGGTGCACCGTGTCGCCTGTGTTCGGCTTCGTGACGGGAATCTCGATAAACTATTATGTTGAGCCCCGCGGAACAGGTGTTGCTCCCCGGAAAAAAAATTACCATTTTAAACGGCCGAGCCGCGGCGACGGCCGTGCGCGAAACCATGTCGACGGGCTTAAACGATTCGGACCCGAGATCGATGACATCGATAGATATTTCGATGGGATCGATTGTATTCGATTATGTCTACCGCGGACGCGCTCGTTGAATTATTGCCAAAGACTCGGTCGAATTTTATTAATTCTACTTATTTAACAGTTCATTGGCGGAGAATGAAAACGGCACGGAAAGCGATTCAGGAAAATTGCAGCTGCACTAGTTTGTATTTTAGGTTGGTCGTTTTAGGTTCGTGTTAAAACGATAATGCTTTCATAATGAATTACGATTAAAGAGTAGAAAATGTTTATTCGTCGATGTTAATCACTCTAGAAAAATGAGTGGATCATGTTAAAAACGGTGGAAACATTAACAAACATTCGAGGGTAGTTTCTTATAATTTTTAGCTCGTTAAAATTACGAAGAAATCAATTTCTATTTTGCATAAAACTGCACGGTCTATTTTAACCCTAGAAAGATAACCATACGACAACGTACGTAAAAAATAACCATACGCTTCAGAGGCGCATGCTTTTCTAAGGCGTCAATTTTATACTAACAATGGATATTTATTTAAGTTAATCTAGTCATTTTAAAGGTTTGGCATTATTGTAAAAATAAAATGCATTTATATTATATTTTTTTATATTTTAAGTAATTTTAAACTTAAATCACTAGACCTCTATGAAAAATTAACAAAAATCAACAGTCTTCGCAGGCGCCTCTGCGACGTAGGTTATCTTTCTCGGGTTAATACGTACAGAAATGTACCTGTCTGGGTTTTCCTTTTTTATACAGGATCGAATTACGCGATATTCTATAAACCGGACGTAATAGTTGCCCTAATTATAGAAGGCAAGACCCGACGGCCCCGGAATCGATAAATATTCTTCAAAAATACAGTTTCCACGGTCTACAGATTGCAATTACTTAACCCAATTAATGCTGGTGTCCGAACAACCCCTTATCCTCGGACGCCCTAAAAATTTACAATTCCCTTTGCGTGTTCGAATTGATCACGTCTGTGTGTCAAGGGTGATGCGGCTAACGATGCAATGCGACACACATTACCATTGGAGCATCTGGGAAAGTGTTCGAGTGGCTTGACCTATGACGATAGGCATGACATTCTGTTCTATTTATTGTAGACCGTGCGACATAGTGTGCCACCGCGCTATACCGTGTGTATACATAAGCAAATTTAGTTGAACGGTCNTCTAAGGCGTCAATTTTATACTAACAATGGATATTTATTTAAGTTAATCTAGTCATTTTAAAGGTTTGGCATTATTGTAAAAATAAAATGCATTTATATTATATTTTTTTATATTTTAAGTAATTTTAAACTTAAATCACTAGACCTCTATGAAAAATTAACAAAAATCAACAGTCTTCGCAGGCGCCTCTGCGACGTAGGTTATCTTTCTCGGGTTAATACGTACAGAAATGTACCTGTCTGGGTTTTCCTTTTTTATACAGGATCGAATTACGCGATATTCTATAAACCGGACGTAATAGTTGCCCTAATTATAGAAGGCAAGACCCGACGGCCCCGGAATCGATAAATATTCTTCAAAAATACAGTTTCCACGGTCTACAGATTGCAATTACTTAACCCAATTAATGCTGGTGTCCGAACAACCCCTTATCCTCGGACGCCCTAAAAATTTACAATTCCCTTTGCGTGTTCGAATTGATCACGTCTGTGTGTCAAGGGTGATGCGGCTAACGATGCAATGCGACACACATTACCATTGGAGCATCTGGGAAAGTGTTCGAGTGGCTTGACCTATGACGATAGGCATGACATTCTGTTCTATTTATTGTAGACCGTGCGACATAGTGTGCCACCGCGCTATACCGTGTGTATACATAAGCAAATTTAGTTGAACGGTCAGTACAATGTGTCAATAAACTTCGCGAACCAATGATAGCTTTCAGCTGCGTCAATTAACGCTTTCATTATTAACGTATCGATCTATATATAATATAATATTATATGTAATATTATAATATATTTATATAATATAATGCATAATTATATTATGTATTATTATATAGATAATTTTATATATATGTATATATACAATAATAATATAATATAATAATATAATAATATAATAATATAATAATATAATATATAATATAATATAATATAATATAATATTAATATAATATTATAACAGAGAGATTTATATATAATATAATGTATAATTATATTATATATTATTATATATAGATAATTTTATATATATGTATATATACGATAATTAATATAATATTAATATAATATTATAATAGATTTATATAATATAATGTATAATTATATTATATATTATTATACAGATAATTTTATATATATACAATTATTATCTATATAATAATATATAATATAATTAATATTTACAATTATAATATAATGTACATTACATTATTAACGCTATAGTAATGTCTACATCAGTAAATTATTAAATAATAAATGTATTTATTTACTT